GCAATGAAACTGACACCAGTAACTACCCAGTACAAGTTCCTATCAGTATGTACCAAGAGAGCACCGACAGCCTCACTGTAGGCTGGTAACAGAGGACCAAATCTGGGATTCTAAGGGAGGAAAATAATGTCCCTATCATTCCATTCTATCCCGTCATAAACAAGGAAAACAGGAACATCAACCCAAAGCAGATCCACAGAAAAGGTCTAGCACTTACTGCAGCAGTTCCCTGCTGTGCTGAGTGTGCTGCAAACCTTGCCACGTGGTTTATAATAGGAGAGAAGTTGGTTGGTCCATAGAGCCGGATCTGAGGCAGGATCTGGCGGTAGGCATCCACTATTCCTTGGATCCCTGCAACACAAGGAAGGAAAGCTGCCACAAGGGCCTCACAGTTTCTCCAGGCATTATTTCACAAGCATTACTAAACAGCATGGCCAAAGGCTAAGAACTCACACAGATGTGAACTCCTCAAGGGCAAATAAGCAGCAGGGTAACAGGAAATACAGGAAGCACAGGGCTGAGAGCAGTGGACAGCTGCAGAGATCAGATTTGCACATTTCCCCCCCATTCTACATTGCTCACTCTTTGTGCCTCTAACATCACAAAGCTCAGGATTCTAGCCTGTGAGCTGGCAGAGCTGATGGAGAGGGCTTTAACCCAGGTTTGAGGGGAAGGGGATGAGACCAGGCTCAACAGCAGTGAGCCTCGGGGTGGCATGCCAGTGTTGGAGGGCAAATCAATAGCCCCCACTGACTCTGAAGTGCATGAGCCACACTGGAACACTTGCAGACTTACCCAGACGAGTCAGCCTGTGCTTACCAGAAGTAACAAAGTTTTCAGCACAGACTATCGAATCAAATTAAATCTAGATCCCATCACTGGAGCTCATGTACCCTGCTCAGAAGTCTGCACCAGCACACGTCTGCTCTTGTCAGCATCAAGGTGAGAATAAATACAGTTTGCTCCATGTCTTGGTGCTGCACCTGGTTTTCACCAGTTATGAAAGAAACACAACCCTGCAAACACCTGCCCCTCTCAGTGATATTACTCGAGAACAAGTGTCCTCACCTTGGCAATAAGGGTTGCTGGGGTTGAAGTTCAAAGCAAACTCATGAGATACCTAGGAAAAGGAACATCACAGTTAGGGAATGCAGACATGGACAGAGCAAGTGCCCAACATTGTGAAGGACCTACCTGCCAGCTAGGAGGAACCTGAGCTCCAAACCCAAAGGCAGGAAACAGCTTGTCCCTGGAAAGAATGGGCAACAAGAAGAAATGAGACAGTGCAATTCTTTAATAACTCCCATTTTCTTCATAGAAAACAGCAGGAGATCAAGACTAAATTCCTGCCATAAGGAATTAATACATAATCTAGCTGTCCATGGCCAGGTACCCAAGGGTTTCAGGCTTGGGCTTGACAGGTACAGGATTTCTTTCAGTGCAGCACTCCACAGGACTCTCAGGAGACTTCAAAGAAGCAAGAAAAAAGCCAGACCAACCCCAGCCTGGCTAAAGGACAAACACGTAACTCACTGAACCAAACAGGACATTCATGTTTGCAATGCACAATCAGCAACAAGGGATCAGTGACCAGGAAAAGCAGTAGCACAGTGGGACCCAGGGCAGAGCAGGAGCAACAACACAAGCAAATATGCCACATTATGTAGGGCTGCCATTGCCCTCCCTGGCACTGACAGAAGCAAGAGGAAGCAGCAGCAGCTCCTTAAGGATCTCCCAAGTAAAGGCAGATCCTCAGCCAATAACACCCTAGAGGTCTGGAACAAGCTATAAGCTTTGATCTGCTGTGACACATTCCTGATGTGCTGACTAGATGAGTTAAAATCATTACATACGTGTCATAATCCTGGACTACACTTCCCACGCTCCAGATGGCAGTCAGGTACTCATTGATCCCATCTGGGCTGATGTAGTGAAGAGAATCTGGTGAGTTTGGATCTCCATTGGAGCCAGTGAAGTCTACACCCACCTAATCAGCCAAGATGACAGCAGCAAGTCACTGATACATCACCACAAGCAAACGAGCAGAACCAATTATATGCAGGCATGGGGGTTTAGTCCAGGCCCACACAGCTCCCTTACCACCATAGAACCATCTAGGCTCAGGAGACCTCTAAGATCATCAAGTCCAACAATTAACCTGTCACTCTTGCAACCCCTAAACCATATCCTCCAGTGCCAGATCCAGAGACCTCTGAAACCCCTCCAGGGATGGTGACTCCCCCACCTCTCTGGGCAATATTCAAGTGCCTGAACAGCCTAACCAGGAAAACATTTTTCCTGATATTCTATCTGACTCTGCCCTGTCTCAGTTCAAGGGCATTCCCTCTAGTCCTGTCCCTGCAGCCATGGCAGGACAGACATCCCCCACCTCTCTCCAACCCTGTCAGGGAGTTGCAGAGAGCCATGAGGTCACCCCTGAGCCTCTTCTCCAGGCTAACCAACCCCAACTCCCTCAGCCCTTCCCCATGTGCTTTAACCCTTTCCTGCCCTCGCTGCCCTTGGCTGGACTCGCTCCAGTGCCTCAATGGCCTTTTTGCAGTGAGTGCCCAAAGCTGAGCACAGCACTGAGCTGTGACCACCCCAGTGCCCAGTCCAGGGGGATGAGCACTGCCCTGGTCTTGCTGCCACATTGCTCTTGATCCAGGCCAAGATGCCCTGGGCCTTCTTGGCCACCTGTGCACACTGTTGGCTCACATCGAGCCTCTGTCAAGCATCAGCCCAAGTCTCTTTCTGACCAAGACCTCTCAACACACTTCTCCCACATCCTTCCTCCCTCCCAAGCACACAGCAGTCCTTCACAGGAACAGGCACACAAGCCTGCACCCCTTTTCCCACTGGGGTACAGTCATTTTTGAGCAGTAGCAATCCTTTGCACTGATAGACTGACCCAATTTCTCCAAAGAAGCTGAAGAAGCTCTAGGTCCATTAAAGTGCTACTTGATCACAAGAAGTAAAAATATAGCATCATTTGATTTTTGCAGATTTCATCACTGCAAAAATCTGCAAATTCACACTGCATTTGCAGCCATTCATGCTGCCAGTAAAAGTACTAATCACAACCTCACTGCTCTTGTCCTGTCACCTACCAGGACAAGCAGTGGGACACACTCACCGTGAAGTTAATCTGGCAGCCTCCCATCACGTAGTCCAGAAATGAATACTCAGTCTCAATCTAGAGGAACACGCAGTGTTACTCCTACTCATTTCGTTACAATCAGAAAATAAAAAATCCAAAACAACCCAACAAAAATCCACCTACCTTGCAGGATTTTATCCTAATAATGCCAGAGTTTTTGTAGCTCTTTTTCTTTTGTTTTTTCTCAGGATGAATGCACTCAAGTTCCACCTACAGGAAGCAACCACAGAAGAAGTTCCAAAAGACCTGCATTTACAGCAGAGCAAACTGTTGAAACAAAACTGCACACATCACACAGTGTCAGTTATACAAATATACCCAGCAAAATTCTGAAATTTAATTTTGAGAAGGTCTGCACCTACTTTGGCTGCTACCTGACAAGCTACATCAGATGCTTTTACTACCAGCACTGGACCAGGAGGCAAAATCTTGGGGTGAGTAGGTCAAAAAAAGCCCAGGCCATAGGTTCCCAGTGGTAGCATTTTACTGCTTGCTTTCACTCACATTCTGAATTCACATGGGCTAGGGAAAAAGGCAAGAACCTTCCAATGGTTTTTGGCTTATAACCACAGAAATCAAGCTGGCTAGCAACTGGAGCAGTCCTGGGCTACATCCTGCATGCACATACATCTGCCTGAATTCAGGTGCAGCATCTCCATAAGAATGAGATGTCAGGTTCTCACTGCAGACAGCTAACCAAAACCCGAGCAGCAGCAGGAACAACGTGTGATAAACTGACCTTAACCCCATGTCCCTGCACGGCTGGAGGGGAGGAGGCAGAGCCGGGACGGAGGGAGAGGTGGGAGGAAGGTAGTTTTAAGATTGGTCTTATTTCTCACTATTCTTATTCCTCATTATTGTGGGCATTCTTGAGAGCAAAACTGTTTGGCACAAAACATCTAGAGTCCCTCTATAGTGTGTGAATTCCCTACAGGTGACAAGAGAAGTCAGTGAGGTAACTGCTGCCAGAATCCAACTGGTCTAATAGCCAACACAACCTCCCTGTACACTGTGACAGTAAGTACAGCACCAGCAAACGGGGAAAGAGAAATAAATATCCCTTTGTGATTCATGAGATTCAACTTTTTCTCAACTGGATGGCCAAGACAAGGAAAGGACAGTGCCCCCTGGAAGTACTGCTGCTCTCTGCTAGCTGGCAGGTGACCGCAGTCCTTGGGAGGGTGAGCAGCTTGAGCACAAACATTATCTGAGACAAGCTGTGCCTCTGGACTCATCTATTACAGCACCAAGCAGCACTTTTGTTTCCACCTGACTCGCAGAGCTGAACTGCTGGGAAAAGTGGATGGTGGCCAGCAGACAACAGGCTCAAGGATGTCTTTAGGAATGGTAACAAACCCCAAAGAAAATAAAGCAATCTAATTCACACACCAGGTTTTATTGTTCCCAGATGTTGCTTTAGGAATACCAAGGTACAGACAGAAATATTCACCTTTGGAGGGAACAACTAAAAATGTATCTCTGAGGTCAGAACTCCAAAGGGTTTGTGAAAGCCTGAACTCTGGACTAAGCCATCGGGGCGGAGGAAGCTCACCGGAGAGGCAGCAGCAGCTGTCTGCATCTGCGCCAGCGTCGTCTCCAATGTGCCGATCAGGTCATGAGAACCATCACTGTCATAATCTGCACACTGGACCTGGAAGGGAGGAGGGAGCAGCAGTGGGCAGGGAAGCCACATCAGGGACACTCCCCACCCCATCAGAGCTCAGGGTGTTGGCCACATCACTACCTGAAACCCAGGAGTGAAGACACACCCAGGGCAAATCTCAAAAAGGGGAACATGTCCACCTGCTCACCCATTTAAGTACACACAGTAAAAGATTTTATTAAAACCCTTCCCCAGTTTAAATGTAATAGATTATATAGATGAATAAAATTTGAAAACAAACACTAAATGCCCCAAAATTTCACAGACCAGATGTACAAACATGAGATCATTCAGGATAAGATGTGCAACTGGGATAATGGGAAAAGGCAATTCGAAGTTTCTTATTTAAGCACTTTCTGAATATGCTCTTTTCTTCTGTGCAACAATAGCATCAATTTACAAGGAAATTGGAATTTCCATGGAGCACTAAGTCTGTCTTTTTCTGCATCTTCTACCAACTGAAGTAAAATACTTCATTAATAACCAGTCATGTTTCAATCAGCATGAAAGCTCCAGGACTAGATAACGCAAAAGAGCAACGCACTTACAAACAAAAAGATGCTAATAACCTTGGCTCACAGCAACCACAGTGAGATACATGTTGTCTCTCCACAAAATCACCAATGGGGAACATTTCTAAGACATTCAGTGCACACAACAGCAGAGCCCCAGTAATTCCAGAAGTGAGAACCAAGATGCAGCTGCAAGCAGCTGCCTCCCTCACTGCTGAAGCTCACATGCCACATAGATTCAAGAGCTCTCTCTTTCCCAAGATCTGCTTGTAGTAATCAAGAAACTGATGCTACTCCAAGATAGACCAGTGACAGCTTTCTTCCTCAGGACAATCGACAAGATGAACCAGTGGGTAACACCCCAATAAGGATGTCAAATTCGCTGGCTACATATCTGAGACAGGGTTGTTTTATTTTGTATTCTGATCTACTAGGGATCTCCCACGGGTATCAGTGGAAAACCTGCACAAACAGTCAGGTGAATTTTGGCCTAATGTAGCCACCCAAATGGGAAGCACCATGTCATCCTTCAATCTCTTAATGGGAAAACAGGATACCACAGAGACTGTGCCCCTTCTCCACCTTCACCCTTCCCAACCCAACCCTTTTCTGCTCCTGTCTTCTGCTCCATCACCAAGCAGCTCCCACCTCTCCTGCCCGAATTCCACTCTGCCTCTCAGCAGTTCCCACATTTGTACATCACCCAAAAGCAAGTGGATCATGTCAGGGAGGCCAAGGAAGGAGGCTCTTGTGCAAAGCCAGGGCATGGATTCCTGGTGCAGGGTTTCCTTTGTGCCAGGACACCCCCATGCACCTCCTCTCCCCTCCTTCCTTCTCCCACTCCCCCTCACAGCCATGCCAATAAAAATCTATTTAGGACTAGTTTATATGCTGTGAACTAAAAACTAACTTTGCTATGAGCTCACAGCATGTTCGTGGCTTAAACTTCCTTTTTTCAAGGGTTTTCTAAAACTGGCCAAAACTCCCCATAGGCAGAGCAAAAAGTGATGCTGCTGCAAACAGAACCCTCCAACACTGCAGGGCACTGTATAGAGTCATTTACTGATTATTTCTTCTCAAATGGCTTGTCCAATACTCATTGTGAGCCATGGAATACAGTCAGCAGGTAAAGGTCCCTTTCATCTACAGGAAGAACCTTCAAAGTTCACATAGAGTGGCTTTGCCTTTCTGTATGTGCCACCAAACCTGTGAACACCAACACCCACAGGTCTCACATTTGTTATTTCCATTTAAACAAAGATGGGGGTGAGAGGCTACTTTCACTTGCTGTTATTTTTAACCAAACTGTCACAAAGATTAGGCTGTGTGGCCAACCTGAAATGTTCTTTGCCCAGAACAAGGAGAATATCACTCTGCATCACAATGGAGAAAGAATTACCATAATACTAGGCAGCATTTGACCCAAAGACTTATGTTCACACACATATTCAGTCCATAATCCTCACAGGGCTGGCAAAGCTGATGTTTAGGGGATACACCAACATGACTCTTCCCACTGTGCTGAAGTTCTCCCCTCGATCAGGATTTCACACATAATTGCTCCCAAGTAAATTCCTGGAAGCCTCAAACAAGAGGTTCAGGGGAACAAACACAAGATGAAAAATGAAACACCAGTGCACTATTATATTCTTTGGCAAAGCTCCTGCCTGCCAGCCTGGACTCCTCTGGCTGACTCACTGCCCCAGCCTGTTAGGGACAAGAACAGTTTAATCCCTTTTCACGGCTGCATTGGGAAACTTTCTAGATTATCTGCCCATGCATTAAGAATTTTGGCCCAAATGAACTCAAAGCCAAATGCTCTCCTTTTGAAGGAGCAGGTTCACTCCAAAGTGAATCCCAAAGCACAGAAAGCTTCTGAAAATCACACAAAACAAAACAAAGACACATTTTTGTACTACAGCAAATACAGCCCCACACATAAACCATGCCATGTCATGCCAGCTCTGACTCATGACTATATGCATCCCTCAGCCACCTCCTTTCCACATTCACTGCTCACGTTTGGACCAAAAAAGATTTCTTTCTGACCTAAGACTGCTGATTCCCCAGCAATAAAGCTCATGACACCACTCAGAACACTGCCACCAACATGCCCAGCACACCTGAACACCTATTGCCAGGTGGATAACCTCAATAATACTTTGGACCTGCCATACTGCACAAAAACATTAGATCAAGCTTCCAGCATGAGATTTCTTCAAAGACAGGAAGAGGCAGGAAAATTCTGTAAATGAGAAGTATTTAGATATTGGATACACAGAGAGAAACTCTACTCACACAGAACTCTCTCTGGATCTAAATGCCTTTAAATTATCAACGCATTGCTTCGGAGAAAAATTAACAAATTAAGTTGTTATCAGTTTTTCCTTATCTTACTAAAAGATGTAATTGTTCTGCTACCCCCTCTGCAAGCCAGGACCAGAGAGAAATAGTCATCACATACAAGACCACAGGGAATTACTGTTCTGATTCCAAACTAAACTTCTATTTGAAACAGACTGAAATGTAGTTAGGACAAGTCTGCCTGGCTGAATCTGATAGATGCATTAAGGTCCTCTCTGTGTCAGTAGCCCAAAGCACTCAGGCTTGGCCAACATTCATAAGCCTCTCAGTTAACTTAGTGCCACAAAGATAGAATAAAAAAAAATCAAAACCAACAACAAACAAACCAAAAAAAAGCCCCAGAAATACCACAAAAACAAGCAAACAACATACCACCACCAAAGCCCAACCTCAAACCCTGGCCAGAATATTGACAAAAAATCAGTTATAATTCTTCTTATGAGTAAGTATTAGAAATTGCATCACTTCTGCATTTCCTGACTTCAGTTTGACAACTCATAATGCTTTAACACAGACATATGTAACAGACATCTAATCACTCATCTGCCACACTGCAATTCTAGAAGGACAATCTAAAAATTTAAATATGACTAGACAGCCTGGTAACTCCTGGTTAGCATCAACAGAGTAGGGATGACCTGCAACAACAAACAGAACTTCTGAAGGCTGTACCTTGATAGGCTTATTAAAATCACCACCACAGAACGTCTGCAAGGGGACACTGAACTTCCTCCAGCAGGGATTTAAGTTGTTCTTGATCACCTTAAAAAAAATGAAGCATAATGTCAGTGAGGGATGTGACAGGCAAGTCACTAAGAAACATGACATGAGGGTTCAGCATGGCAAGAACAGCCTCAGTCAGTTCAACCCTAACATCTACAGCCAAGCAACAGCTCTGTAAGAAAGCAAAGCTTGATGTTCAGGATAAAGTTAAACTTTAGAGCCAAGCCAACCCAACAACTAACAGCACTGAGAGCACAGAAGAGTCTTGCCACTTTTCACTGGGTGGCCGTGGTCAGACTCCTCACTTGGCTTCACCCAGTCACCAGGCAGCAAACAAACAACTTGCTGCAGGCTGTGAGCACAATCCCCTTGCTTTGGACACAACTTTCTCTACAGAACTGATGCAAAGCATGACCAGGAGTGGGACTCCCACTTCCAACAGCAGTAAGCTGTCTGATCAGCTCAAGAAAAGCATGGTGTGTAAATCCTACCTCTGATCTGTACACGAGCTGCCACGTTCCAGCATCAGTCTGCTTGTAGAACTCCAGAAAGGGATCTGATTTACCTAAGAAGTCCTGCAAACAAAAACCCATCAGAAGTAATCAGCCTCCCAATGAGCAGAGTTGCCTGATCAGTACACAAAACTTCAAACAAAGCACAAAGTCAAACAAACTGTACATTTGTTTTCTTTCCTCAGTTCCACTTTTCTCTTTTGAACTGCTGCCCTTTATCAGAATTCATCAGACCCAAGACCACCTTCTCAGACTCTTTTTGTCACTTTAACCTCATTTTTAACCTCATTTTGTCACTTTTTAAACCTTTTTAATATCATTTTGCTGACTGAGCAGTTAGGTCACTAAATCCCTGGGTTGGTCTTAGGTCTAAATACCTAAATTTCTGCTTTTACTTCTTTAACAACAATACAAAAACCTCAGGTCACAGCTACAGCACTCACTGGAGACAATGATGGAATACACAGGATGTTCCAAAGCCAAAATAATGCCCCTAAACCTGGCACATGAGTTTCTGGTTTGATGTTGTGGTTTTCAACATGAAATTGTGTCTCCAAGTTTACTCCACTGTACATAACAAAACATAGTGAGCCTTTTCTTACACATGGAGCACTAGCCTAGCTGAATGTGTGCACACAGATTTCTGGCCAAAAGGCAACAACTGCAACCACCACAAAACATGCAATGTAATTTAAAACAAAAATCAATACCTTTTTGTCCAAGTTTTGGGCTTCAATTTCCAAGTACACAACCCTGGTGTCTTTAATCTCCTCTGCTGTAATCTGTGCCATGGACATTTAGGAAAAAGAAAATTAAACAAATATCCTAGAGTTTTGCTCATATTTTATCCATGCAACTGTAGTTACAAAAAGTATCTCTGTCCTCTACACATGCAGCATTTGAAGATATGCTGAGAGAAAACCAGAAATGCCACTTTGTCCCAGACAACCTAAGAGAACCCATATTTTGCCACACAAAAACCTTATTTACCATAATAGTGCCCTTTCCTGCTGGCTTTCCCTGCTTCAGTTCCAGTGGTCGGGTGAACACCGAGCTGGACACAACCTGAGGTTAAAAGATAGATAATAAAAATCATAGAATCATCAAGGTTGGATGAGACCCCTAAGATCATCAAGTCCAACCATTAACCTATAACTGCTGTAACCCCTAAACCAGATCCTCCAGTGCCAGCTCCAGACACCTCTTAAACACCTCCAGGGATGGTGACTCCACCACCTCCCTGGGCAATTCCCTATTCCAATGTCTGAACACCCTGACAGGGGAAAAATAGACAAAGAACAAAGTATTACGCTTCAGGTGCAAATTTTTTAAACTATTCTAAAAGGATTTAAATTTCCACCATTCTGTACTCCTAAATGGCTGAACAGTCTGAAAGTTATCTTCTCTCACTATCCAGAACACAGTGCCCATGAACATCTCTCCAAACTTCACTTTGGACTCCTATTTTTGCTGCCTCTGAGACATAAGTCATTATCATCACAAGTACCCATAGAGCTACTAAACCCAGAGAAGACTATTCAATTTACTGCCTTTCTTTAATAAGATGAACCCTACTTTTCTCCTCCTCAGGAAACGAATGCAGAATCTTAAGTAGCCTCATTTCCCCGGATTTACTGCCTGATGGGCACTTTGTCCAAAGGAAACTCTCCAAGCACCATGCTCCCTTGCTCCCAGACTGTCTCTAGTGCTCCAAGTGCCTCTCAATTAATTACAAACCACCTGTATTTCTGACCTTCACTTTATGATTGACATAATGATTTTTCTGTGTTCAAACAAACATGTTTAACACTGTTTTCAAAACTGAAGGTCTCAAAGCCTTTGATAAAGCAACTTTTCACCTTGTTTTTCATAATAAACCCATCTCTTGCTTCTAGTTTACATATCACTCAACACACATGTACACACACCTGTCCCAGCGTGCACTCAATCCCTCCCAGGTAGTCATCATCGTTCAAATCGAAGGACTTGTTATCGATGTCATACACTTCAAATTTCAGCTTCTGCACTTTCTCAAAGTAGTAATCCACCACCAGTTTCTTGGAGAATTCAGGGTCTTGGCAGTTCTTGATCCTCTCTGTGCGATCCAGCTGCACAAACACAGGAGCAAGGCTGGTGATGATGAGTAAGAAGCACACGCTCTCCCACACAGCTTTTCACCCGCACTCGGTGAGCACAGGCACCAGCAAAGCTGAGCACCCTGCACCACATCCCACGGTGGGTGACAACCCAGGCTGACCCACAGCTCACCAGGACAGAAAACGCACTGGAAAATAGTCATTACTGTATAGGAAAATGCTGAAAACTAGGGGGAAAAGGCTAGTGAAACACTATATTCTGGAGGGTGAGCTCCGGGACAGAGGGGAGGGCAAGGCAAAGGAACCTCCTGACGCAGCTCTGAGCAAACGAGTGATTAGTGAAACCACTGAAGGTCCGAGCATGGGTAACAGGACTGCACACCACCTGCAAATCCAAACCACTGAGCATGGGTAACAGGACTGCACACCACCTGCAAATCCAAACCACTGAGCATGGGTAACAGGACTGCACACCACCTGCAAATCCAAACCACTGAGCATGGGTAACAGGACTGCACACCACCTGCAAATCCAAACCACTGAGCATGGGTAACAGGACTGCACACCACCTGCAAATCCAAACCACTGAGCATGGGTAACAGGACTGCACACCACCTGCAAATCCAAACCACTGAGCATGGGTAACAGGACTGCACACCACCTGCAAATCCAAACCACTGAGCATGGGTAACAGGACTGCACACCACCTGCAAATCCAAACCACTGAGCATGGGTAACAGGACTGCACACCACCTGCAAATCCAAACCACTGAGCATGGGTAACAGGACTGCACACCACCTGCAAATCCAAACCACTGAGCATGGGTAACAGGACTGCACACCACCTGCAAATCCAAACCACTGAGCATGGGTAACAGGACTGCACACCACCTGCAAATCCAAACCACTGAGCATGGGTAACAGGACTGCACACCACCTGCAAATCCAAACCACTGAGCATGGGTAACAGGACTGCACACCACCTGCAAATCCAAACCACTGAGCATGGGTAACAGGACTGCACACCACCTGCAAATCCAAACCACTGAGCATGGGTAACAGGACTGCACACCACCTGCAAATCCAAACCACTGAGCATGGGTAACAGGACTGCACACCACCTGCAAATCCAAACCACTGAGCATGGGTAACAGGACTGCACACCACCTGCAAATCCAAACCACTGAGCATGGGTAACAGGACTGCACACCACCTGCAAATCCAAACCACTGAGCATGGGTAACAGGACTGCACACCACCTGCAAATCCAAACCACTGAGCATGGGTAACAGGACTGCACACCACCTGCAAATCCAAATTAAACCGCAGGATCGGGGCAGAAGGGACCACAGCGAGTCTCTGCTCCAGCAAGGCTGACGCAGAGCCCACGGCACAGGATGGCACCCAGCAGCTGCTGAATGCCTCCCGAGGGAGGATCCAGATCTGTCCCCGTGCGAACGTGTC